TGTACCCCGCCCTTCTCCTCACCGGACTCAGGGCGGCTAACAGCCTTATAAAACCACAGTACAATAAATATCATTAAAACCAAATTAAAAGAAAATATTTGAAAAGGCCAATCGTTAAAATTACCCTTAAAATTACCCTTAAAAACCCCACTAAAATTCCCTAGGCCAGACCCGCTTGTTGAAAAAGCCATGTCTTTAGCCTTCCTCCCTTTAGCCTTCCTCCCTTCAAGGGGACGAGGATTTCTTATCGGAGGGGATACCCCCATTGTTCTCATATTTGCCAAGGGTTCCCTAAAGAACCCTCTCTCATTGGGGCTGACTGATATCTCCGGGCACCCAGCTAGCTCCTTCACTGGGGCCCTTGACAGTTTCCCGAATGCACTGGGTTCCCTGATCTTCTATGCGACTTTGGGCATGCACGCTTATAATGACCCCCACCCCCACAATTATAACAAACCACTGATCTCATCGAATTGTTATCCCAGACGGGCGGTCCCATCCTCCCATCAATTATTCCAACCTGACCTCCATTCAGGGGTGGGCCACTTGCTGCTGACCAGGAGGCTATTATCTTGGTTAGCTCCTGTATCTGGGTTTGCATCGCGGTTATCCGATCATCCTCCTCCCTCACTCCTGAGCCTATGGGCTGTCCCACCGGCCATTCAGCTGTCGCCTCCTTAGCCTCCTCCACAACCTCAGTAGCCCGTACTCTCCTCATAAGCTCATGATATCCCCAGACATTCCCTCTAGCTTCGACCTTTATTTGACTCCAAACCGGATCCAAAGTCAAAGCACCCCGGGAGAGTTGTTCTATCCTGGCCTGTTCTACCCCAGCTGGGTCCAGCCCCCCCTTTTCTACCACCTGATATAATAATCTATTCAGGCGCCTTATATATTCAGACAACTTCTCACCCCTCTTCTGATACATATGTTCTAAACGGAACAGTAAACTAGATACCGTCTCAACTGACCCAAACTCATCCTGCAACAAGGAGAGGTAGTCACACACAGTAAACTGTCCCCGACCCAATGTTAGACTCCTAATGGCCTCTGCAGCAGGGCCCTTTAAACTCTCTCTAACTCGTTGTTTTTTCTGGGAGTCCAGTATATCCCACTCCTCAACTGCTTGTATTGCCTGCTCCATCCAAGCTTCGTATTCCTCTTCTCCTTCTGGTACTGGTTGTATCCCCGAAAAAGTACGTAAC